CAATATCATAGTTACTCCCACCTTACCCATGATAAAGGTTGTTGACAAGCTTATATGGGAGAAAGCATGTGTCACATTGCTGATACCGTTTATTGTAGTTGTTTTAATGTATCACTAGATATATTGCTAACAAACCTCAGAATTAGATTTAACGCCCAAATACATAATAAATCTAGAAATATAAAATTGTACACAAAGAAAAGTCACTTCTACTGAGGAAAAAATGTTACCACATTGTATAATGTAAAATATTAAAATAAGATTACTTTTTATGATATTTATTGTATTCTATGGACATGATTATTTTCTTAAGATATTTTCAATTGCAATAACATTAATTTATATAATATTAAAGATGTTCTATTAAAAAAAACAATACCAGAATTTAGAATCATTTGCAAAATATTTTAGTAACCAAGCAAGCCTTTTTGAATTCGTAAACATTTGAACGCTATAAGAATCTCTTAAAATTGTGTTATTTTCAAATTAATAAAAATACAGCTACATTTCTGGAGTACACTCTTATAAACCAAAATTATTCATTCTATCTCTGTCCTTGCTGGGTTCTCAAGCCAGCCACCGGTTCAATGCAACAGAGTCCCCAAAAGGACTCTTGTAACAAAGTTTAGGTATTGTTCCAAAAAGCATTGCTTTGAAACATACCTTTGTATCAGCGTTTTACGGCGTGTGATTTTTCAAAGCAGTGCCTTTTATGTGTTTTTGATTAGTAAAACTTTATTTACATTCAAAGTTCTTCCATGCCTAGAATTTTTCGTTTGAAACATGAATCGTAAATAAATAAACAAAAATACAATATTCCCTTAGTTAGAACAAATTACAATGGGTAATTGTAAAAAGTTCGAGGAAACATAAAATTATACATTATGCAAATGTTCATTTGGTATTAAAATTAGTGCTTAGTAGAAATAGGAGAGCGTCCCGATTAATTGAGTAAAAATATGTCCACCCTACATTACGACATTTTCTCAAAGTTGTTGTGGTCTTAAAAACTAAGATACATAAAATAGCATACCATTATCAAAAACCATAGTCAACAATATAGCCCAACAACTCATTCTTAAATGTTAACATAAAAAGCAATTAATTCTCTCTAACCAATTTCCAACAAAGTAGTGTAATTAAAAGTAATTTTAAAAGAATAAGCGAGCCTGATAGAAAGTAGTTGCCACTTGGTTGCACAGCTGATTGATGACGAAGACGTGTAAAGACTTCGGAGACGCTGCGACTGGCGAATTATTCAAAATGCGACACTTGAAAGTTTCATGTCTGCGCAACTATAATGGCGCGCAGTGAAACACACCGTCGTAGCATTGTTTCGTGTGAATTATGAATGTAGCTCAATCGTAAAATGCGGTTAGGAGATATTGGTAGTGAACGACTGCAGTACAGAATGTTAAGTATCGATGTAGGTCGGTGTGAAGTAGTGATGTGTGTATAAACTAGTAGAATCTCGATAACAAGACCCTCAAGGGGGTTATTAAATTTGACTTCTTATCGAGGTTTACGATAACATGTGATTAGGGATAGTTAGTCCAAGGTGATTACAAAAATTACTCTTGTTATCAAGGGTGACTTGTTACCGAGGATATATTGTGGTCCCGCTGTATTTATAAGAGCCGGTATGCTTGTTTATTGAAAATGAAAACATATGTATTTAGTGAGTTGCTAGTTTATTTTATAGTACAGCCAACAGTGTAAAAGGAAGTGATGTTGTAGGTTCACGTCCAGATTTTGCAATTCAAATTGTGAGTAAACCTTTCTTGTACTGGCTCACTTTTAGCTTTGCTTAATACATTCAAGGCACATACCTTCTAGTTTTATGTAGCAAGGCAGTATAAAAAAAAAATGTAAACACTATAAAAACATAACTTAAAAAAACAAGACTCCTGTTACTCCATCCTCCAATAAAAATTCAAAACCCTACTTTATATACCAATTCTCATATAGTATACTGTATTTATTAATGTATGGATAAATAGCATTTCCACTCTACTAAACGTCTATGTCACTATCATTTACTCATTTATCAATTATTTATATTAACAGTGGTGTGTATCGGCATTAACTTTCCAAAGATTTGGGACTGGCATAATAAACGTTGAGAATACTTTCCGGTACAATTTCCCAGAAGCAAATTATGGCACCTCGAAAACCCTTTAAGCTAAGTATACACATTCGTCAGAGTTCGGGGTTCTTTCCATGTATGGAAAGCATTTTTAAGGCTATAAAAGTGCTCAACTGGTCGACAGGGTGAATACTGTGCAATTTGAAATAAAAGCAGTGTGAGAGGCGTACGAATGAAGGCGGAAGAATGAAGAAAGGCAATAGAAGATGGTGTCAACAGTACTTGGACGTAATGCGTTAAAGCGTATTAATCGGAAAAATATTTATTTTATCATTAGGCATAGTTTGTTATTAACTTTTAAATTAGTTTCACTTAACTATTAACTAAAATTAGTTAATTATTAGTTTAAGATAAGTTAATTATAAGTTATTTTGTGAAATGATATTCAATTTCTCAGTAATTTATGTCATGCTTTTTAGTCGGATTATCATATTAGTTGATTATATGCTAAATCATCATTATGGTTGTAGCTGTATCCCCAGAATGTACTCAGTAACATTGCCATGTTATAATAGAAAATTACTAGAAAGTACTAGTACGGTACAAGTATAAAGAATTGTTATTATTAAAACGAAATGAAAATGGGGTTTAATGGGCGGGAAACATTTCCAAAAAAATATGCTTTTAAAACCACTCTTTTTATTTAAATATTTCTCATTGGCAAACGCCAATTTACAATCGTACTCATAAAATTGACAAATAAATTAATAATATAAAAGATAAAACTACTACATTAATAAACAATAATATAAAATACAAAATTTCAACGAAGACAGCTTAGTAATTTAATGAGGTAAACAACAGTGAAAAAGTATATGCTAATAAATTAAAAAATAGTTGTGAAAAACACAGTAATATAAGTTTGGTAAATACTAAATGAAAGCTATGTAAACCACAATGGTAAACAAATAACAATAGCTAATAAACAACCACGGAAAATAAATAAAAATGAAATTTTAACATACAAGTTGTTCTTCCTTAATGTTCCTGTATAAATTATACCCAACTGCATCACCACTTTAGCCTACAGGAAGATATTACAATGTTGTTGTTTGGATAGCTACAATTTACAATAATACATTAATAATGATAATTAATAATATAATTCAATAGTTGACATGATGGATTGTAACATAAATGCAATTATTATAATTTTTGGTTCTAGAAAAATACATTAAGTAGTTCAGATTTACAAGTGCGACGACAAAGTGCACAAAGTGAGAAAAGAAACAAAGAGACATGGAGAAAGCGTGCAACAATAATTGCAACGATCACAAAACTACAAAAGTTGTGGATACAAATATATAAAATCAAGTGTAATAACAAGTTAAAAGATTATCGATCATATTATCCCAACATATTGTATATATTCTTTGTATTTTAAATAGTACTGATTGTTGAAATAAAAAAAGTATAAGCTTGCAGAGTAACCACATCAGCCATGAAGGACAAGACGCTGCTCCCAAAAAGTCGACTTGATCGTAGAGGCTGTCTCCAGTTTGTATCGGCAAGATTTTGAGCTCTGCTCATGGTATTTATAATTTTTTTTTCAACGGACATATCCAATTTACAACATATAATCAAATAGTACAAAACTTAGGGTGGCTTATATTGTACACTTTTACAAGAACACGATAAAACACAGTTTTGAATTAATGCGAAATTTGTGCATGTGTAAATAAAAGTCAAACTACTTAGCATATTAACAGTTTATTACCAATGCAATGAAGGGACAAACCGTTTCAGAGTGAAGTTTATATAATACAAAGTGAAAGACTAATATAATACAGTATAATTTATTCTAATGTAATATAATTTAGTGTTGTGTCCTTTCCCAAAATGCTGTTGCAGTCAAACGACGAAGGGACATGGAAGTCTAACTTCTTCAATAGTTCAGGACAATCCAGCAAACCATTGGTCATTTGTAGCATAACAGAGTCCAACATCGTTCTTTTTCTTGATAGTGGCAATAGATCATGAAGTAATTTGATCATATTTTAAAGCTCACTCGGATGAGCTCACTTGGCCACATGGAGTTCAACAAGGGTCTGAGCTTTGTCCACTTCTTACTTACTTACTTGATACTTGAGCACTACATCGGTGACCGACAATGTCGGAATAGATTGCGTCAAACTTATAACTAAAAAAAGAAATATAAAAACTTATGATGGCGGCGGGTTGCCAAAAAGTGGTGTGTCCTCTAGTTCAGTCAATGAATAGAGAGGTCTGCGCACCAAATAGTCCTTCAGTTTGTCTCTAAAAGCTTTAACGTCCAACTCACGCACTTCAGATGGGAGTGTGTTGTAGAGCTTGCTGGTGTAGTATGGTGTTGTCTGGTCTTCTCTTTGTTATCCTTATGAATAATTTCGATACCAAGCAAGGTTAAATAATTGTAAGGCAATCAATAAATCGATTAATATAAAAAGCTGTACAGTGACAATTCAAAAGAAAAAATCCAAATGTAATTGCAATGTAAACAAACTAATACGAAACGTATAAAGCATATTCACTCTAAATATAAAAGAATCATATGCAATCGAAGAAAAATTTACTTTACTTTAACAAATAGGTGAGAAACAAATTCAATAACAATTTACTTTGCTTCACACGACCACGCAATAGCGAAACACTAAATCCACTTAGCATAAACGAAATAAAATAAACACAGCGCGTGTTCCATTAGGAAAGTTGGGTTAAACTCTAGCGAAGTAATGGCGGACATTTAAAAGCGGGAGCAAATTAAATCAGATACCAATTAATTTAAAAACAGTCACAGAACAAATTAGCTGGTGTTTTAGAGCCTGGGGGGTTTGTAGAACGGAGAGTGGTGGGGGTAGAAGGGAGGGGCGTGGCAAAAGGGCGTTCCGCGGAGGGGAGGGGCCGCTTAGACCAATCAGGAGGTGTGAAACGCACCATTATTGACGACGCGGGGCGGGAGTGGGGGAAACAGATGGTGATCGCTTACCAAACCTTAGCCAGTTGTGCGTTGGTAACCGGCGTGTATACATGAATAGTGTGTTTTTTGTGTCAACTGTGTTTTTGTGCTGTGATTTTTTGTGTACATGGACTCTAGTGTGAAAATATCTTGGACTGTAAACTGTTCTTTTTGACACAATAATTCCACGTATAAATTTAATTAGAAAAAAAATACTACGTGAGTGACTATTTGGATAAATAAGCAATTTATTGATACCCTATATAAATTTATTGTACAATAATTATAAATACTTTACAGTGCTCCTGGAAGCTTGCAAAATCTTAGTACAGTTCATATAATTATAACTGATTGGATATTGGTATTTTATTTCGCATACAAGTCTCTAAAAATAAATAAAATAAAATGTAACCTCAAGAAGAAAAATAAAAATTAACAAAAACACAAGACAACAAGTACAGTCCAAAAACTCTCGAGCCATTGGTTCCACAGTTTTAAATTAGTTGTACTAAAGGGTTTGTATGGACTAATTTAAACACTAAACGAGTCATGCCATCTTAAAATCTTTAATTTATACCTTGAGAACTATAAGAACAATTATTCAAAAATCCGTCCCGAAGGACCAAAAACGTTTAATATGCCTCTCCGCCTGTGAACCATGGTTCTCGACGGCGGAGTGTTACCGCCTCCTCTCCGTCTCTACGCTGCTGCCGCCGCCGCTGCCAATGGCTCCTGCTTCAACCCCCAGGCGAACTTCCCTCCGCACTCCCTGTTCCCGCACTTCGCGCGGTTCCCGCTCCAGAACTTCCCGGGGATCCCGCCGGGGTTTCTGCACCCGCAACACCAGGTGCAAGGCCTCCGGTTCGCCGCCAACCTCCTGGGCAGACATCCTCACCCGCAGGACATCCGGAGGCGACAACAGCTGGCCATCAGGAGTGCCAACTCTCCGGACAGTTGTCAGGGTGACCTCAGCAAGAAAGGTAAGCGTTTGTGCAATTTTAATATTTAATCTACTTATGTAATAAACAGTGTGTAATTTCTTTCAGAGCAACAGACGTAGCCTAGAGTTCCAAAGCGGAACATAAGACTTTTTATGGTTGATGAACTTTATTACACCCCGATAAGGGCAATAGAATTTTTTAGGGGAAATCATCACAATCGATCTACGTATTTGACTTATTCAATCTTTTTTGACATGACATTGCACGTTTATAGTACTTACTTTTTCAACTGTAACTCCATTTTACGATGGTCAACATAATATTACTGAAAGTAACAAATATGCAGAAGACTTGGCTTGAGAACAATAATGAACATTAAAAGTTGTTGATGAACTGAACAAATAATAATGATTAGGAGAATTTAACTGAAAGCGAATCTGCACTCAACGATTGTTTTATTTGATATCTTGTATATCAGTATATCTTGTTTTTTGCACTTTTACATAAGTGTTCCAGTGAAATGTGAAGCAACAGGCGAGTACAGTTTTTTCAAGCGTCCGAAAAAAGGGTATTTAGGATTTTTTAATGGTATAGCTTGAGTTATTTGGATGCCCAACAGGATTATGCGTGTTCACCTTGAGGGAATGTTATTGTGTTTATCCATATTTATTATGTGTTTAAACTACTATGAATGCTGTTACATTAATGATAACAATACCTAGATGAACATCATGTGTTTTAGCTGTTTTGGGGGATATTGTCGAAAAGAAGCAAGGAAACTGATGCGGGAAGGAGTGGGCTACGTACATGATAGGCTACATGAGATTTTCTTTCTTTAATAATTTAGATAACTAAGGAAATAGGCTCTTATATGTATATATGCAATATTACGAGTAAATAAGGAGTAATATACGAGTAATTCTGTACATATCATTATTTGTGATTGGTGGTTATTTTAATTAAGTGCGTAAAATTTTCGAAGTTATTTAAAACGAATATGATTTGGTAAAATTAAACTTTTTATTTTCACACTAAGAACTAAAATGAGTCAAGGAAAAATTTTTACAACCTGGAGACATCAACAAATAATACTAAGCACGGAGACCCAAATTAAAATTTATAATATTTACGTTACTAATAATATTATAATTAATAAAGTTACCTAATGTTTAGATGTTGATGATAACAGACTAACAAGGTAAACAAAAATACTTTTTTTAAAACTAAACCATTTCACCTCCTAATCCGTAATATTTATACAATTCCGCTTTTATTAATATTTTAATTTTTAAAATTGGGATATTTTATATAGAAAATATATTTTCACAAACAGTTCATAAAACAACATGGTAACATTTAATAACATGTCATAAAATGCAAATGAAAGTTATAAAAAAATATTTTTTAATTCTTATAAAACAATAATAAATATATTATTTACATAATAATAAATGCTGCAGTCCAATGGTACATTTATGTAAGTAATGATACAAAATTATTTATTTAATTTTCAACGGGAACTCTACTAAACAAATATATGCAAGATTCATTTAATATATTGCAGGCATAAAAACAGTATATGCAAGCAGAAAAGTACTGTATATGCAACAAAGAACATAAATTTGATGAAAATGACAATGAAAATGAATGAATAACAATGTATTTACTGCAAAAAGAATCAACACAATGCAATTCCTAAATAAAAAACTGGAAAAACTTAACAAAACGTTGACATTTAACTTAATCAAGATAGGTTAATGAGATATTTTACTTGCACATATGCAGATGTTTAGTTTACATAGAAGGCTTGATGATAAAAAACAATTTCTTAGGTTTGGACTGTAATTTTGACCGAGGACTTTGTTCGTGGCATAAATTATTAAATTAATGCAAGGTATTGTAACCTACTCAGATTAAAATTAGACCTTTGGTATTGCATTTGTAGGTTATCATATCAAATAACAGTTTTAATTTTTAGTTAGCCATGAATGCCGTTGTTATTCTAAAACGTATTTTTTATAATCAAATGTCGTTATATTGCAGAATATTGCTATAAACATTTGTATATGTCGTAATTTAAAGCATAATTGTATTGTTCAAGTTACATTATTTAAAATAAGACTACAAACAGCAGATATAATATTGTACTCTTCCTTATTCTTCCAACGGCACATCCAGTAAATAAAGGAAAACAAATCTATTCTGTAGTAGACTACAGTGCTCAGTGTTTTGTAGAAGCAAAGCCTCGAATTTAAAACGAGTGAGACAATATAAAACTGTGAAAAAAATGATTATAAGTAAATAAATAATTTAGAAGAGAAAAAAAATGATAGTCATAATAAAACAACTAACTATTCAATAATAAATCCAAAATTGAGTTAATAATAAAACTATCTATAAAAGAGGAACTATGTATGTATATACCTCATGGACTCCGAAACCACTCGACAGATTGTAATGAAACTTTCAGGAATTATTAGGCATTATTCAAGGATAGTTTGTGTGATGTTTGGTGCAGATCCGTCAAAAGGGCTCGGCCCAGAGGGTTTTAAGGGGGTTCAATGTCAGATGTTTGGTACTACAATGTTTACAAATAAATATAATTTAAAAGCAGATGTTTACCTTTACCAACTGTTTTGTAGGCTTGAATGATCACAACATTCTGTATTAGTCATAATTTGAAATAATGCCACACTGTTGCCACAGAATGCAGTAAAGAAAACTATTTGACTTTTGGATGAGTCTAAAAATACTAAGCCACAATCGCAGCACATCTGTGTGCATTAATTACCACTATTAAATATGTAAACATAAAAGAGTAACTTACGACTAAAGAGTTATATATTTATACACCTAATGAAAAAACAAAAAAACATTGTTTATCCACTAACCATTAAGTAAAATAAATATTTTTTAGTTTTCGGGATTAATTTTTACTATTTATCGTACAGAACAAATTACTGTTTAAAATAATATTTGTTAAGCGCTGCAACGCGCGACGGGTAACTGCTAGTAAAACAATTACATATAATGTACTGTCTTACCCACTATGAGTTTCCGCGATTTCACAGATATTAATATTTAACAATATTAACACAGTAGCCTGCTTAAAAAATAATAATAATAAAAACTGTTTATTCCCAAAGACCAATGTGATTTTCTGAACATACTGTTTCTAAGGTGGCATTTTTGCTAGCAAATCGCACAATAATGAGGAAAACTGAAACCTTAAAACCTAAACTACATATATTCCTTTTATAATTGTCATTTGTCAATTAAAAGTAGACCATTTATCCACTCATGCTTTATGCTCAAGCTGGTAAAAATAAACAGTTAACATTTGTTGCTAAGGTGGCATTATTGCTAAAAAATTACCAAATGAGGTATTAGTTCAAACTGAAACTAAAAAAAAAACACTAAACTATATTCCTTTTTAATTGTTATTTATTTGTCAATTATAAATGGGCCCTAAACGATTTCTCCAATTATGCTTTATGCTCAAGCTGGTAAAAATAAACAGTTAAAATTAACACAGGAAATCGCGGTTTCGAGTTGCGACAGACCAAAATGATAGTGAAATGTTATCACTCAAACAACTGCGTAAGTCAATGAATGGTTGACCACAGGAAGTTAGGTTAACACCGGAAATCGGTCGATTAGAGTTATCATCAGTTTAACAGCGCGAAACCAACTTCATAGAATCATTAGGCATAATCTTTACGGTGGTTGAAAAGCGGCGTTCTTTGTACATTGATGTGACTACCGAGTTTTACCACTTTTTAGTATATTTTTAATCAAATATTTATTATTCTCTATACTACATTCTCTTAAACACTAATAAATGCAAACTCAATTATTGTAGTAATGTTTGGGAGTTAATTTATTTAGTCCAATAATATTGCGATATCATTTATTCATGTAAACACTTTTTCATCCAACATTTTGGGGTTTTCAATTTTTTTTAAGAGAACTTAAGTGTGATATCGTTTTTTTTAATCTTGAATATTTATTATAATTGTATCTAAAATAAATTTCAGCTAAAGAATACTTTCACCAAACACCACAATAGAAGACTGGGCATAATTTTACCACAATCATTGGAACTAAAATTATAAGACAAAGTCTTGATAAATAATAATTATGTGATTAAAAACCATTTCTAATGTCATAGAAACAAGTATTTTATTACGTGCGGAAAGCCTATATTGCTCTACGGAAATAATATGTATTTCTCGTATGTTAAATTAAAGTTTTGTACATATTTATTTATATTTATGGTTGATTTTAGATGTCATGATGTATATTCTGTACATAACTTTGTTTGTATTGGTTGTAAAAATCTTACTTTACATCAAAAACCCACTATAGGTGTAGAAAAGATATTCTATAAAAAATATTTTATTTTAAAAATAGTAACTAAAGACAAACTGCACGTTTTACTGTTATATGGAGGTAAAATTAGGCCTAATGTTAATATGTGGCTCTGCATATGTATTTGTAAATGTTGCAGTCTAAAGCGATATATAAATTTAAATAACTTGGTATTTCTTACACTGGTTGAACATGAATGAATGACCACTGGAAGTAAGCCTGCAGACTAAGTGTACCTCTAGTTATTTCTTTTTTATTTATTCGAATATTATATTATTAAAGTACATTTATGCTGAGATTACTACGAAAATACAAGCGAATTTGGGTTGTGTAAATAGCATGAAGTAAGATATTTATAAGAAACAGCCACATTTTATGGATTATTTGTTCATAAACAAATAAGAAGATCGGGGCTATTAATCGACTAATAATATCCGAACTTCTAATTGTATATGGACACCATACTCACTATTGTATGGTGTCTATTGTATGATTATTAGATATGCCTTCAATGTTCATTTTACCATTTCCTAAGAAGTGTGTCAATTATATGCGTATAATGTTATACAATTTAATTTTACAGGATTTAAGTTGCGAATCGCTATTACAGGCAATTAATTGTTACAACCCCTATCATTGAAAAAAAATTATAAATCACATTTACAACA